CTGTATTTGGTATCTTTCCATTCCGTACATTTTGTTGTTCCTCTATTCATGCAGTTAAATTTTGTATTATGCTAGATTTTAAATGGACAGGTAGCATTCAGGTTTGTGTTAAAGAATGCACAGACTTCAAATGACCTACAATGGAGCACCAGTCTTTACCCCTTAATATGCAGAACATTGTCTGGCTGTGCATGCACGAAAGGTCAAGTATGGAGGGCAAGCAAAAGACGTCTGTCTGAACTTCTCTGCAGGAATGTTTAGGTGGAGCTTTAGAACTACTACGCATTTGAGTCATCAGATATTGTGAAGTCTCAAAACTTATGGGCAACTCTTCTGCACTTGATCATCTTTTGCTGTACATGACTTATGTATGTATCAGAAATAAACACTCATTACCAAATGCTTGGAGCTTGACTAGGTGTTGCTGTTACAGCTGAAATTGTTTCTACATGTGGACTGTCAATGGTATTATTCTGTTGCATCAGCTGGTATACTTTGGGGAATACTATAATCTAATCTTGGCTTCCACGATTTTATTTTCTTCTAACTTTTAGGTGTATGTAGTCAATTTGGCAGATTTGTGCCCCTGCAGCCTGCTGTATAGAGCAAAGGTAGCATGGATAGCAAATTGGACAAATGACATGAGAATCTGTTTTCAAAGATGTTGGTTGAGGATACAACAGAGATCCAGGAGAAGTCCCTTCTCCAAATTGTACTACGGAATTATACCTATCAGCTGGAGTGTAGGTTTAATGTCTCATTCCTAAAGCTGTCCAACACTGCAGCGCACTCATTGTATCTGGTACATGGCATAAATTAAAATGTGTTAGGCCACAATGTTCTTCACTCAATTGTGCAAAAGGAAATATAGTGTAATTCATCAAAATTATTTAATTACTGTTTTGTACTTGCCATGACTATAAAATAAACTGAATCACTGAAAAGAAAATTATTTTCTTTAAAATGCTTCCACTTTAATCTCCATTTCTCAGCGAGGTGCCAGTGAATGCCACATTGTATTTCGAGGATGGTAAAGGAAGCCATATTTTAATAAATATGTACAAGCTAACAAAATATCTGCCTTGGAAATAGTTCTCAGATTGTGCAATTGTGAACACCCTGTGAATTTGTGCTGTGCAGCTGTTTATGAAAACTTCAGAATTTATTGTGGTGGAATAAAGCAAACATTACTAATACTGTGTATATAAAGTACACACACATACACACACATGCAGACATATGTAAACATGCACACAGACTGTCAAATGGAATGATTTCCTGACTCTACATTTTTGTTTAATGCCTTAAAGTCTATTATTTTATTTATTTATATAGTCTTGTGTAAATTAATTTTCAAGATAAACGTCACAGTTTAGTGCTTTATATGTGTCAGATGTCATTTTTACATTTTAAAAATGACATCCAATTTGATTTGACAGTGTGAGAGTAGAACAGTTTGTTACTGCCAGTAATATGTAGGATTTGGTTCAGTCAGTATCATTAATTCCCAGACTGCAACTTCAGTAGAATGTTAATATTGTTAATTTTTTTATTCATTCATGTGATGTTGGTTTTGTTTATTCACTTAGGACATGAACATTGCTGGCTGGCCAGCATTTGTTACCCATCCTTAGTTGCTGTTGAACTGAGTGGCTTGGTAGGCCATTTTAAAGGGCAGTTGAAAGTCAACCACATTGCCGTAGGTCTGGAGTCACATCCATTACCAGACCAGGGTGAGGATGGCAAATTCCTTGCCTGAAGGACATTAGTGAGCCAGATGGGTTTTTCTTGACAATTGACAATGGTTTCATGGTCATCAGTATTTTCTTAATTCCAGATTTATTTTTATTGAATTCAAATTCCATCATCCATCGTACCTAGGTCCCCGGAACATTAGCTGAGTTTCTTGATTAATCGTCTAGCGATAATACCAATATGTCATCACCTTTCCATTTCCAAATAGGCAATTTCAGAGGGCAGTTCAGACTCAACCACATTGCAGTGGGTTTGTAGTCACATGTAGACCAGATCAGGTAAGGTTTGTCCTTCCATAAAGGACCAGATAGGTTTTTACAACAACCAACAATGGTCAACAATGGTCACATTGTTTAGAATAGCATTTTTTTAAATCCCAGAATTCTAGTGAATTCAAATTTCACCATCTGCCACACTATGGTTTGAACTCACGTTTCCAGAACATTAACTTGGCACTTCGGATAATGAGTCCTGTGACATTACCACTGTGTGAACACCTCCTCTATTGCCTGTATCTGGAGATGTGCCTCTGTCATTAATTATATTCTATTAATGTAAAACACGTGCATTATTGTGACCGAAAAATGCCCCAATACGTTGTACAACTATAGAGTCCTCAAGCGGATACAATATGGGAGGGCACTCAACTTGCTGTATACATATCCTTCATGAGCAATTTTCCTCTTTGCATTTTCCTGTCATTTCCCTGTGGCTTTATTTTTCACTCTTCAGATCATTAGTTTTGAAAGCCAGAATTGAATCTACCTCCTCAAAACTCTCCGGCAGTGCATTTCATATCCTAATCATTTGCTGCAAAGAAAAACTTTTCTTCATGTTGATATTGCTGTTTTGCCAAATAGCTTTAATTAGGGTGTTTGAGTTCTCAATCTTTCCTTCAAATGGTTCAGTTTCTCCTTGCCGACTGTCCAGACCCGTAATCATTTTGAACATTTCTATCAATGTCCTCTTGACCTCCTTTTCTCCAAGGAGGACAGTTGCAGCCTCTCCATTCTATCCATGTAACTGAGGATCCTCAACCAATCTGTTGAATATTTTTTGCACCTTTCACAACTTTCTGAAGAAGCCCAGTTGAGACCTAACCAGTGATTTATATAGGTTTATCATAACTTCCTCTCTTTCTGCTCAGTACCTGTCTTTATAAAGCCCATAGCCTGCTTGTGTTATTAACTGCTTTCTCAACATCTTCAATGATTTAGGCATATATACTCCCAGGTCCCTTGCTCCTGCATCCCCATTAATTTAGTGCACTGTACCTTATTGTATTTCCCTTTTCCTTCTCCAAAATCAATCACTTTGCAGTTATTGGAATAAATATTTTCTGCTCCTTGTGCTCTTATTCCACCTGTCCAAGTCCTTTTGAAATCTATCACTATCTCCTCATAGTTTTCACAATATTTCCAAGTTTTGTGCCATGCACAAATTCTGAAATTGTTCCTGTACACCCAAGTTCTAACATAAATGTATGGGAACACTAGCCTATTACTTCATCTAATCTGAAAATACTTTCTAAAATGTAGTCACTAATATAGCACACACCAAGCTCCCACTGATAGTGATAAGATATTGACCAGGTAATCAGTTTTCATGTGGTTGGTTGAGGAATAAACAGAACTCCCAGCTGTCCAATAGAAGACAGAGGGTGGTAGTAGATGGAAAGTATTCAGCCTGGAGCTCGGTGACCAGTGGTGTTCCACAGGGATGTGTTCTGGGACCTCTGCTGTTTGTGATCTTTATAAATGACTTGGATGAGGAAGTGGAAGGGTGGGTTAGTAAGTTTGCCAATGACACGAGGGTTGGTGGAGTTGTGGATACCGTAGAAGGCTGTTGTAGGTTGCAGCGGGACATTGACAGGATGCAGAGCTGGGCAAAGAATTGCAGATGGAATTCAACCCAGAAAAGTGTGAGTGATTCATTTTGGAAGGTTGAATTTGAATGCAGAATACAGGGTTAATGGCAGGATTCTCGGCAATGTTTAGGAACAGAGCAATTTTGGGTCCACTTACATAGATCCCTCAAAGTTGCTACCCAAGTTGATCGGGTTGTAAAGAAGGCGTATGGTGTGTTGGCTTTCATTGGCAGGGGAATTGAGTTTAAGAGCAGCAAGGTTATGCTGCAGCTGTATAAAATCCTAGTTAGACCACACTTGGAATATTGTGTTCAGTTCTGGTCACCTTGCTATAGGAAGGATGTGGAAGCTTTAGAGAGGGTGCAGAGGAGATTTACCAGGATGCTGCCTGGACTGGAGGGCAGGATTTATGAGGAAAGGATGAGGGAGCTAGGGATAACACAATGTGGAGCTGGAGGAACACAGCAGGCCAGGCAGCAACACCCGAAACGTCAGCTTTCCTGCCCCTCTGATGCTGCCTGGCCTGCTGTGTTCCTCCAGCTCCATACTGTGTTATCTAGGACTCCAGCATCGGTAGTTCTTACTATCTTTGAGGGAGCTAGGGCTTTTCTCATTGGAGCGAAGAAGGATGAGAGGTGACTTGAATCAGGTGTACAAGATGATGAGAGGCTTAGCTAGGGTGCATAGTCAGAGACTTTTTCCGAGGGTGGAAATGACTATTACGAGGGGGCATCATTTTAAGGTGATTGGAGGAAGGTATAGGGGAGATGTCAGAGGTAGGTTCTTTACACAGAGTGATGGGCGTGTGGAATGCGCTGCCGGCAGTGGTAGTGGAGTCAGATACTTTCGAGACTTTTAAGCAACTCTTGGATAGGCACATGGAGGATAGTATAATGTAGGTATGCAGGGTAGATTGATCTTAGTAGGATAATAGGTCGGCACAACATCATAGGCTGAAGGGCCTATACTGTGCTGTACTGTTCTATATTCTATGTTCTAATATGTGGATTGGTTTAATATAAATTTCAAAGCTTACTGTCTTAAGTAGGTTGATGTTGGGGTTATGTTATGAGGAAATGTTAGAAATCTGTAATGGAAACAGGAAATCACAGCAAAAAAGACAGATTAATTTTCCAGGAGTGAAACTTTATCAGGCCTAGTTCAAATAAACCTGAAATGTTAATTAATTCTTCTTTGTCACATGATTTTTCTGCCACATTTCTGCAACTTTGTCTGATTTCATTCTGTGATATGCCTGTATGCGCAGAAGTTTTGTTCTGGCTATTTGCCTAATAAAACTGATTCTGTTTGAAGCAAAATCATTAGAACATGTGAAGTAACATTTTTCTGATTTATTTTGCTTTGCTTTGTAATGCAGGTACTTGTCAGTGAGGATGTTGAAGGTGAAGGCATAGTGGCTCATTTCCTGGCCCATGACAATAAACCCATTTCCTGTATGGCATTTAACCCCAGTGGTAAGTATATCTCATTCTCTGTCTTGTTTTAAAATATTCAACTATTTGAAGACAGCAATTTGACATTCTGCATTGTATCCAAAAATGGACTTTTGACCATTTACCATCTCTAAGGAAATGCTCTAAGGAAATGCACAGTTTGATCACGTTGCTGAAATATTTAATTCCTTCGAAAAGATTTTTAAGACATGTTGCAGCAAGACCAATTCACAGTACAAATAGATGTCAGATCTGAGTTATGATTCTCATTTTGGCTGTTTTTGGAATGTATGGTCCATCTCAGCTTCTTTCTGAAGTCCCCAGCCTCACAGATGCCAGTCTTCAACAATTTTGATTCACTTCACATGATACCAAGAGCAGCTGTAGGCACTAAGATTGCAAAGGCTCTGGACTTGACAATATTCTGGCAATAGCACGAAAGACTTGTGCCCTAAGACTGGCCACACCCTTGGCTATAGCAGTGCAATGACAGCACTGACATCTGCCTGGCAATGTGAAAAATTGCCTGGGTATGTCCAGTAAACAGAAAACAGGACAAATCCAATATGACCAATTGCATCCCATCAGTCTACTCTTCATTATAAGCAAAGTGTTGGAAGGCTCATTGACAGTGCTGTCAAATAACACTTGCTTAACAATAATGTATTTGCTGATGTTCAGTTTGCACTCTGCCAGGGTTGCTTAGCTTCTGACTTCATTACAAACTTGCTACAAGAATGAACAAAAGAGCTGAACTCAGGAGGTGAGGGGAGAGTAAATGCCCTCGACGTTAAGGCAGCATTTGACTAATTATAGCATCAGGGACCTACAGAGAGTCAAGAGGAAGCTCTCTGCTGGTTGGAAACATACCTAACATTAAGGAATATGGTTGTGGCTGTTAAGGTCAGTCATCTTAGCTCCAGGATATCACTGCAAGAGTAGCGTCTTTAGCCGAACCATCTTCAACTGCTTAATCAATGACCTTTCCTCTGTCATAAGGTCAGAATGGAGATGTTTGCTAATAATTGCATAATGCTAAACACCATTCACAATCCCTCAGACACTGAAGCATTTCTTGTCCATATACAGCAAGATCTGGACAATATCTAGGCTGAGGGTGATAAGTGGCAAGTAACATTTGCATCACACTAATGAGAATCTAACGGGCACCCTTCATGTTAAAAGCCATTGCCATCAGTGAATCTGTGTCCTTGAGGGGGGATGCCATTGACCAGCAATGGAACTGGACTAGCCATGTAAATACTTGGCTATAAGAGCAGGTCAAAAGCTAGGATTTCTAAGGTGCGTAAAACATCTCATAACTCCCCAAATCTTGTCCACTATCTACGAGGTACATGTCAAGAATGTGATAGATAACTCTCCACTTGCGGAGATGAACACAGCTGCAACAGCACTTAAGGAACTCATCAATTTATGGGACAAAGTGGCCTTCTTGATCCTTTCCACCACCTTAAACATTCACTCTCCCTATTGTCGACACAGTTGCAGAAGTGTGTGCCATCGCAGCAACTCACCAAAGCTGCTTCGACAGCACCTTCCAGACCTGCAACTCCGACCATCTAGAAGGACAAGGCATCAGATGCATGGAAACACCAAGTTCCTTCCAGTCAGAAACCATCCTGATTTGAAACTCCATTGTTGTTTCTTCAAAATCAAAATCCTTGAGTTTCCTTCCTCACAGTACTGTAGGTGAACTTATATTACACGGATTGCAGCAGTTCAAGAACACAGCTCACCACCACATTCTCTAAAACAGTTAGGGATGGGTAGAAAATGTTGGCTTAGCCAGCGACGGTCACATCCCATTAAATAATAAATTTTCAAAAATCTGCTATTATGCTTCCTCACTCCCTACTTCATGCTAATCTGAATCTACCCCTGTCCCATTTCTCTACTTTAGCTTTGTAAACCAAACTTTCTCTCGTTTTCCTTGAATTGTCCCTACCACCTTTCTTAGGTCATCTCATCAAGAAAGTTAATTTGTGTTTCATTGACTAAATTCTCACTAAAGTGATGATTGCCCACCTTCCAAGCGTCAGCCGTTTCACATCCTTCTCATCCCTCCATAAATCCCACCTATATGGTGACTGCAACTGCCGCCCCCCATTTCTGGTCCTTTAGTGTGTGTCCATAATTTTACTTATGCCTCTGCAGCCCTGGGATATTTTTCCCTGCCAAATGTTCTATACGAAGAATAGCAAGTCAAAGAAATAGTACCTAATATTATTATTATATGCATTCCCCCAACCCCATTCCCTCAGCTCTTACCTTTTATGGATAAAACATATCAAGGAAACTATATTTATTCAAACATGGCAACGTTATTACTGCTAGGGCAAGATATTTAGATTTCTTTTATGTTCCCTATAAGCCTTTCAACATTTTTTTACAGCATACGCATTGTTTGACATCTTTCTTGTCCTCCCAACTGACTATCCTTTCTACTGCTTCAGTTGATATGAAAACAATTGTGAAGAGATATTACATGATTAGATATCCTAACATGCTTTTGTGGATGGTATAAGAACATGCCGAAAGTTTGAGAAAAGACTATCAGGCCAATCATGCCGTACCCATCCAGTCACTAGTGTATCCTCACACACTATCACACTATCACACCCATTATCAGCCTCCGCATTAAGGCCATACTTGACCACTCTGCACTAATCTGTGTTATTTCCTGAGAGACACAAAAAGGACTGAGGAAATTGCAGAGACTAACTCATGAAAAGTTCTGGGAAATTCCTGTAAATCTGCCTAAGACAGTGGAGCAAACTCTCAGAGACTTGTGGTTGCCCATGATTCATCACAGTCCAAATAAAACATTCAGAGACTGAACTCATAAGCAATGGTAAAATTTGCTTATTTTTAAATCATGAGTCAAGTTCCATCGCTTTAAAGAATGCATGAAAGGAAGAGCCCAAGCAGTAGCATGCAAAGACACACATTGCACAGTTATTCTCAGAGCGTGCTAGCAATGCTATAATACAACTGGGAGGTTACTGATGACATTGAAATCCATGAAAGCAAAACTTAAGTACTTCATGCAGGTCATTTGCAATTTGAGATTCTGTTTTAACCCCTATCTTCTTCGGCACTGCAGCCATTAAATAGTGTGCCTTGGAAATACATCGGGTCGAATTTTCCCCTCCCCAGAATGCATGAGTACAGCAAGAAAGATGGGAATATATGGTGAGAATGAAAACATCTGAATCTCCAAATACTTTTCCTATTTTCCCTCAAGCCATAAATAGTAACTTCAGAATCTTGCCATTGAGCATTGACTGCTACTTGCAAAGCAATAAAGGCCCAACTTGCCTAATTTATAAGTCACTTTCAGTTCTCTTCTGCACAGATATGTTTAAACTAGACATGTAAAATGGGGCATTTGCCTGGTGGCTGCAGTTCATGGAATGCTTGTCCTAGTCATCATGCAACTGCTTCTTCTGCATAAGTCCTTGCATGCTGCACGTCCACCATCCTCCGTAACATTTTGTTCACACAAGTTAACATCAGCAAACTACCAGCGTCATCCCATCATCATGCCTGTTTCTGGATCAAATTGGGGCACCTATGTCTTGCATGCTTTGGCTTGGTCACTTTGTGTGTGGGTGCACACGCATGCATCTTGTACATTTGCACAGGCTGCACCTTATGGCTGTTAGCATGCTTTCTTATTACTCACTCAATTTACCACTTACTTGGAGGCTGCCAGCCTCTGTATACTTCACATTGCTTTGTTAGCACACGCTTATTGACTTAACCACCGAATTATGGGCTACCAGCTTCTATGTGGCTCGCATTTTTTTAGCACACAGGGTCTTTCATGCTTACTTATGGGCTATGAACATTTGTGGCTTCTATTGATTTTAGTGCAGAGGGAGGGGCAGGCAGCTTGTGACAGTGGGGAGCACTGAACAATCTGTCAGCCTGTTAAGGGATGGACATATTGCTGTGTATCACTGTGCTAAATCAATGTCAGACCTTTATCATGTGCCAGCAGTTTAAGTGGCAAACATACTGCATGTGCTTCAAACAATTGGCTGTATATAAAAAAAGGTAACAATTCTTAGTGAGTTCATGTGGGAGACAGTCAATCACTGAGTACTGCAACAGTTATTCAAAGGACTCATTCGATTAGGAATAAAAGGGGTTGACCACAGTAAGTCAGGCAATCTGAGAATCCATGTCCTTACAGTCCAGGGAATGGACACAGTCCTGCAGATGAAGATCAAGCCATCCATTCATTACAGTCAAGTTAGGGTGCTGTTGAGATGTAAGTCTGGGGTATGGGCCATGGTTAGTCCTGGTAGTTTGGTCAATAATACACAGAGGGCTTATCACGTTGTAGTCTGTTGTCTGCTGGGAAAAGGAAGCAACTCAAAACTGGGGGAAGGCTTCATTATATTGGTTCATTCAAGAATGATGACAGTGCAGGGGGTAAATTTAGGTTGTGGGGTGGGACCTCATCGTAAATGGGAAAGAGCCTACCAGCTGCAGAAGATGGGGTTCAAACAGGTCATTGTAACTTGGGGTGTACATACGTTGGGTGTAGAACTAACAAGTGCTTTTGAATTTTGAAAATCGTGGGCTGTGTGGGTGAAGTGGGGGCATTAATAATAATGTGAAGAGACTCAATGGAAACAGGGAAAGCTTGAAAGGTCACTGGGACCACAGGATCATCAACACAAAGAAGAACATGAAGGATGGAGGGAAGTCTGTGTGTCACAGGTACAGTCTACAATTTCCCATTCTGAAATGAAGTTGGAACTTTGTCTTATTAGATTGAAAGTCAACTGTACAATAACTGCACAAAATGACTGCCATTGCATGAAAAGTAAGCTGCTTTTCTCTGCAGGCCTGGAGTAAATATCTTGGAATTGGAGGCCTTCTTAGGCCAATTTCAGTAATCATGCCTTCACTGATTCAGTAATGCCACTCACCTAGCTTCAAATTGTATTTTATCAGCAGGTCGTTCATTGTCAAAGAATAAAGATTAA